GTGGGATGCATTTTGGGGGACCAGGGATGGGGTTTCTGGGGCTGGAATGGGTTTTGAGGGGCTGGGATGGCTTTTAGGGGATCAGGGATGGGCTTCAGGGGACCTGGGATTGGTTTTGGGGAGCTGGGAATTGGTTTCAGAGGATCAGGATGGGTTTGGGGAGGCTGGGATGTGTTTTGGGGGGACCAGGGAGGTGTTTTGGGGGAACGGGGCTGGGTTTCAGGGCATTCCTCCACACTGGCTGCAGTCTCGTACGCAGGGGAGCAGTTGCTCCTCAGAACAACGTCAGCAACAGAAGGTGTCGTCATGGCGATGCCGGAACCAGCAGTGCTGTTGGGGGCCAGGTTGAGTGTCCCAAGCCCCTGCTCGGTGCTGAGTGGAGGGTCCCAAGCCCCCTGGCAAGGAGCTGACCCAACATGGGGACGCTGGTGGTGGGTGCCGAGCACTACAACATGGTGGCCACGGTGGGGAAGGGGACCTTCGGGGAGGTGACCCAGGGCTGGCGGAGGAGCACAGGGGAGATGGTGGCCATCAAGATCTTGAAGAACGAAGGCCACTGTGGCCGGGTGGCGAAGAATGAGCTGAGGCTGCTGCAGGCCTTGCGGGAGGTGGACACAGAGGAGTCACATGTTGTCCGTTTCCTCGAGTCCTTTGGTGATGGTGTCTGTACCTACCTGGTCTTCGAGCTGCTGGAGCAAAACCTCTTTGAATTCCAAAAGCAGAACAACTTCTTGCCATTGCCTGTCCGGCATATCCGTACCATCACAGCACAGGTGTTGGCAGCACTGGTCAAGCTGAAGGAGCTCTCCATCATCCACGCCGACCTCAAGCCAGAAAACATCATGCTGGTGGACCACATGCGCTATCCTTTCCGCATCAAGCTCATTGACTTCGGCTCAGCCAGCATCTTCAACGAGGTCCACCATGTCAAGGAACCCTACATCCAATCCCGCTTCTACCGGGCACCAGAGATCTTGTTGGGGTTGCCTTTCTGCGAGAAAGTGGACATCTGGTCTTTGGGTTGCGTAGTAGCTGAGCTTCACTTGGGTTGGCCGCTCTACCCCGGCATCAACGAGTATGACCAGGTCCGCTACATCTGCTCCACCTTGGGCCTACCACGAAGTGAGTTGCTCTGCGCTGCCCAGAAGACACTGTGCTTCTTCCAATGGGTGCCACATCCCACTGGTTCCTGGCAGCTCAGACCACCAGGGGAGGAGCTGGCGAAGCCAAAAGAGAGAAGGAAGTATGTCTTCTCCTCACTGGATCAGTTGGCGGTGGTGAACATCCGCCCGGTGTCTTATCCTAGCCAGGAGGCGCTGGCCGAGCACTGTGACCTATGCGAGATGGTGGAGCTGCTCAAGAGGATGCTCACCTGGGACTCGCACGAGAGGATCGTGCCCAGTGCCGCCCTCAAGCATCCCTTCATCTCCTTGCAGCAGGTGAAGTCCAGCTTCGAGGCCACTCAGTACTACCAGCTCTGCCAAGAGGACTTGAGGGCATCCCGTAAGGGTGCCAGCATGGTTGAGATCTTCCCTGGCATGGAGAAAGGTGCCTTCATCCCCACCGGCCGGCGCAGCATCCAGAAGGCCATCACCCAGACGGATGGGCTCAGCCTGGCTGAGCCAGCTGGGGACACCAGTGACAAGAGCCAGCAGGACATCTGCCAAGCCCCCATCCCCACCCACTACGGCATGCGGCACCGCCAGCATCACCGGCGTCCGAGGACGGAGGCCACTGCTGGTAACTTGATTGTGCTGGGGTCCCCCGGTAGACAGGAGCAGCACGGCCACCACGATGGCAGCATGGTCTTCGGTGGCATCACAGAGCAGAACCCGCCTGGAAGACTACACACCTCGCTCCATGCCAAGGTACGGCCACGGGGTGGGGGGCTCACTTGGGGACCAGGGGCTCCTGGGCATGGGTACTCTGGGACACTGGGTGCTCAGGGTCCCTTGGGTGCTTTGTGTCCCCCAGGTCCCTCGGGTCCCTGGACGGTCGGGGTCCCTGGTGCCCCACATCACGGGTGCTCGGGGTCCCTGGCACCCCCATGTCATGGGTGCTTGGGGGTCTCCAGTGCTCCATGTCCCCTGGTGCCCCACATCATGGGTGCTCATGGTCCCTGAGTGCTCAGGGTCCCTGGATGCCCCAGCTCCCCATCAAGGCGTGGAGACCCCACTCATGGCTGCTGCTCACCCCCTTCCCATGCTTCTCCCCCCCTGCAGAGAGCTCCAGTGACGCGGCATGACCCCAAGCCTCCACATCCCGTCCCCGTCCCCAAGGACGGGTTCACCTGGCCAGGCTGGGACCCACACACTACACCTGATGCACTCCTCCCAGCACAGACCTGGCAACACCCACAGCACCCCTGAGCTACCACGGCAACCCTGGCAAACACCCTGGCAGCCAAGAGCTCACCAAAGACCTTCCGCTTCCTCACCTTGGGTCACCCTGACCAACAAAACCCGGCCCTGTGCCGGCCGAGGAGAACGCAGCCAGGGATGCACCAGGATGGGCTGTACTGGATGCTACTGGCGTTGGTTCTTGCAGTGATCCCCAATAAATTGTTTGCCAACGGCTGAGCTTTGAATCTGACTCTTTTCCGGGACGGGTTCGGCACTGCTGAGACTCAAGGGGGGCCCCAGCTTCCCTCCTGGTGCTACCACGGCGTTCGGCAAAGGTCTGGCGCTCTCGGTCACCACGGCACGGAGGACCCCCCACCTCAATAACAGCAATGCAAAGTCCAGAAAAACTTGTTTCTTCCTGGTTTTTTTTTCCCCAAATTGGTGCGGGGCAGCCAAATTTGGCACTGCCAGAACCCGTGGTTCACCGGTGGTACGTTCCCCGGTGCCTAACGGGAGCCGCAGAGGCTCTCCCACCGCTCGGCTTCGCCGATGTCGGCGCTGTACTGGGAGGTCCACGCCCGCGCCAAAACACCCGGTGCTGGTGCCAGCAGCAGCGTTGGCACTGGTTCGGCTCACTGTTTGGTTCACCACCAGCGCTGATCCCGCTGTCTGCACGAAGTAGTCGCCAGACCAGTTGGATGTCCCTGCAAGGAGACATGAGGGGAGACCCCAAAAACCACCCCCAAGCCACCATCACCAGCAGCTCACACAATGACACCGCCACCCACGATGGACTCACCAATATACGCCGCCTTCTCCGTCACCATGTACTTGTTGTGGTTGACCCGGGCATAGGGAATCCGGGCTTGCGCCGCACTCGATGGCACCACGAAAAGTCGCTGTGAGGAGGGAGGAGATCGTCCACCCACTGAAGCATCACCTGCTGGCATGCCCTGGTCACACCACGATACCCACCACCTCCATGCTGTAATGGGTCCGATTATCGGCGACGGCAGCGAGGGATTTGAGGAAGGGGAACATGGTCACTCGGCTGTGCTGCCAACAACCCACCAACAACCGAACCTTGACCCGGCGTTCAAAGACAGCTTTCCGCAGCTGGTTATCAATTGCTGGCCAAAATCTGGGGAGGGAAAGCGGTTAGGCACCATTGGTGCCAGCAAGCCGGGATTGGCATAGGACCATACGAACCTTTGCGGGTAGGAAAATTCGGTGGTGGGTAGGTAGCTCATCACTGCGACGTCCACGAAGTCCTCAGCAGCATCGATGACGTTGAGAAGCGCGCCAAGATCCTGGGTACGACCGGCAGCACAGAGAGCTGGTGGGGAGCTCTGCCAGAATCATCAGAGATGGATCAAGCACTGGCACAGCCAGTCCTCGGCGCTGAGAAAACCAACCACGGTGGATCGGGGACGTACTGAGAAGTAAACAGCGGCATCAGTGTTATTGAGCTTCAACTCCAACGGTGTCTCCATGTTGAAGGTGGTGGAATAATTTGCTGGCCACGGTACTGGGATGGAAGCACCAGGAACACCAAGAGCCCAATAAGCTTCAAAAATTTTGCCTAAATCTTTGGCCAAGCAGCTGCAGTTGTATACAGCGGCGCCAAGCTCCTTCACCTGCAGTGAGCAGCACAGTAGCACTCTCACACCACCGGACGGTGCCACCATCCCTCTCCAGTCCCACCTTATGGCACAGAGTATCCCTCGATGGGGGTGGGGAGGCTGGTTCTGGGATAGCCCCTGTGCCGTTTGGCACAGGTTCAGCACCGTATGACGGTGCTGCCACGCTACTCACCTGAGTCAAAGACCTCCAGTCCATGTTGGCACTCCCAACGTAGAGATGGGTGCTATCAACAAGCCAAAACTTGGTGTGCAGCACGCCGCCAGTGAGCCGTGGCATATCGACAGTGCGCACCACGGCACCTGCACGACCACGAGTTGGGCGTCTCCCACTCAAAATCCCCCAGAAACCCCAATTTTGGTTTTTTCCCATCACTCACCGCTCTGCTCCAGCGCTTGGAGATCGTTCAGGGGTGATTTTGCCGATGGGCGGCTGACAGCGATTCGGACGGTGATGCCATGCTGGGATAATTGGAGGAGTTCGTCCAGAATTTGTTCACCCTGAATCAGCACACGATTTGAGGCCAAAAAAATAGCAGAAATTATTAAAAATGATGAGAAGGTGAGCAAATGGCAGCCAGTGCCAGGTTCAAGCGCAGGAACCGGAGCTGTGCCACATGTGCCAGACGCCGGTGGTGCAGACCTGGGCGGCAGAGGGCTCATGTGTCCGTGTGTCCTCATTGGTCATGGTCCAGTAGAAGGAGGCAATGTCCAGGCTGCGGGTGACGGTCCCCAGGAGATTCATCCATGTGGAGAAGGTGGACGGATTCAGCACAGAACCGTCACCGAATGTCATTCCCTCCGGGATGCTCTCCACCAGGACGATCCTATGGCAGAAATTTGGTGGTGCTGGCAGTGGTGAGATTGTAGCGCCAGGATGTCAAGCGTCTCAGGGGAGCATTACCCACCCCCCCCATAAGCTTGCCTTACCTGCACGTGTCACTGCAGGATCCGGCATTTCCACCGGCATCACTGCCGGCATCACCACGGAGGGCTGAGCTCAGCCAGAGATTGAAGAAGAGGAGGAAGATGAGGATGAAGAGGGTAAGGAGGATGGCAGAGAGCAACACGCTGCAGGAGTACTAGGATGGAGAGGGGGCGTTGGTGCCCCAAAATTAAGGAATAAATTAATTTATGTGGTTAAAAGGCACCCCGAGCACCGGTGGAATCCAGCAAGGGATGGCACCAGATCCAGCCAGCACCAAAGCAGGCCCCTGTAGAGTGGGGGAGTTACCTTCGGTGGCAAGCGGGTGGGCTGCGCCCCACGGTCCTCCAGTGGGTCCAGCTGTGGTGGGGGGGCAGACAATTGGGTGGGGGGACCCCAAACCAGGGTGGGGGCTGGTTTGTGGCTAAAACCCACCCCAAAATGCCCAGGGTTCCCAGGGAGAAGTGCCCTCCTGCCCATATTGCCAGGAGTCCCCATAGGGTGCAGGGTCTGGGTGGAAATAGGAGGCACAGGGTGCCCCAGTTTGGGGTTGTAGGGCTCTGGGTCAGGGCAGGGGCCCTATGGAGCACCTCAGTTTGGGATTTTAGGGAGCCAGGACGGAGCAGGGAGCTATGGAGTTCCCCAGTTTGGGGTTGTAGGGTGCCAGGATGGGGCAGGGAGCTCCATAAGCCCCAGTTTGGGGTCCCGGGGTGCCGCCAGCACCGTACCTGCTTGTAGGCGCCATCGGGCTTCATCCCGGCGTGACGCTGGAACGCAACGAACCGGGTTTCTCCTGACATGCCTGGACAGGCGAGACCGCCCCAGGGTGTGGCCCAGCTAGGATTTTCAGGGGAGAAGGTGCTCCTCCTGCCCCAGAAACCGGGACAGGGCAGAGGCCTTCCCGGCTGACTCACGGGATCCACGTGCCCTGGCTTGTTTGGGGCGGGGAGGGGAAGCGCCTGGTCCTTCCCCCC